GCCCCTGGTCTGCTGGAGACGGTCTCCAGCAGACCAGGGGCACCGGAGCAGCTTTCGCCCCGACTCATTTCCTACCCTAGGCTGCCTTATTTCCTACCCTAGGCTTATACTCGGGTCAATACTTTTTCCCAGTTTTTTGGGGTAAAATTAGGTGCCTCGGCTTATATTCGGGTCAACTTATACTCGAGTATATACGGTATATGTATGTCCATGTCACACAACTGTCCTCTTACACAAAGCCAAACTCTTTTTTTGAACAGTTGTACCTCAAATGTCTTGATTTTTTTTCCAAGATGGGCCAGTACTTTCTGGAAAACCGTTTTAGCCCAAATTTTATTCAAGACTACCTGATGGTATATTTTGACCATGTAATGTTGAATCTTGTTCTAATGTAGATAGATGCTATTTTTAGAAACCTATTAACAGTGTTTGAGAGTGACATTTTTGAAAAGTGTTAAATGTAGTTACTGATTACATAAACTGATCAGTGCTGGTTGTATCTTTTATCTATCCAAGAGATACTGGAAACTACTTAAGTTGATAACCCTTTTAAATATTTACTTTCTAGAATCAGAATCTAACTGATGGAAAAGAGGAGAAAACTGGTAAGATTATCTTTCATTAGTTTTTGCTTTTTGACTATTTAGTATTTAGTCTTAAGTTTTTATGCGGCTTTCATAGTATTTTGTGCTTTTAAGAACATTATGATATTTTCTTATAGCTGTGAAGAAAAAGAAAAAAAGAGGAAGAGAAGATGAAACTTACTACATTTCAGAAGTCATGTCCAAAGAGGTATAGCTGCAGTGTCTGGCAGCTACATTACAAGGGAATGCTGATGTTCTTATGTAATTTGTAGTAAATAGTATATTAGCATTTGTTTGTGATGTAGCCTCAAGATACTGCTGTCTTTTGGCAATACAGTATATTTTAAACATAGGTAGAATTCCTTGATGTGCAATTTGGGAGAGGATATTGACTAAAATGTGAGTATGAGCAAGTTATTTAATTTATCTGTGCATGTTCTCATCAGCAAATGCAGATAATAGTTGGTTGAGGTTCACTTAAAATACTTTCAGATGCTTGGATTAAAGATTCCACAAAAATGATATTTCTATACTAGTCTTTCAAGTTGTCACAAAGCATATTTTATACTGTCGTTTTCTTTTTTTATTTCTAGGAAATCTTGTCAGTGGCCAAAAAAAGCAAAGTAATAAATCAGGTATGTCCATGAATATTGTTAAACATCGTGAATTTCAAAATTCCTAATTATATTTTAGATTGTTTACCTCCTTTTCCTGCCCTCATTTTTAGCTGTTGCTTACTGAAAACGTACTTTTCCAATTATGTATATTTGTTCAGCTAAAGTTGCACATGCTAACTTGTAATCAGTGATTTTAAAATAAGTATCTGAAAATACAATTCTTTATCTTGAAATGTTTTGTTAAATAATGCCACCAAATATGCTAAAGAGCAAGTTACAAAATTCAGTTTTGCAGCTGGTGGTTCTGTGTAGTAAATGAGGAAATATCTAAACGCTTTAGCTCAATTTATCTCTTCCTTCAAAATCAGAGCTACTCAATATGTGGCCCGCGGGCCAGATGCAGCCTATTGGTTTGCGGCTTGTGGTGCAGTTTGGGTTTACGTGGGGCTCAACACGCAGCTGGAAGACAAAACAAAAAAGTCAATATAATCTTCTGTTGATACGCGTTTTAGTAGTTAAATTCCTGGACTGTCAGTGCTCATTAAGTGCTGTCCTATGGATGGAAATTGGGTAAATGTTGCATTTTAATTATATCAGCAGAGCTAACTTAAATAGGGCCTGTGTGTTGTGTAGTCTTGTCTTTATCTTTGTATTCATGCCCATCAGTGTGAAAGAAGCTATTTGCATGTATATGCAACCACACTTAAGTTGCAGCCCTCAGCATGTACTGTGAGTGTCTTTGTGGCCCCCAGAGCTTCCAAAGTTGAGAAGCCCTGTTCTAAATGATAAAAAAACAAATATGCATCTTTTACATTTATTTAGAATAAATACAATTCCGGGAAAAGATGCTCTGGGAACCCTTTATAAAATGCAAGATTTTTGTCGTCTTATGTAGTATATTTTTAATGTTCTATAATTAGATTCCTAGTTGCTACAACATCAGGTACTCTATTAGAAGTTTAAAAAGTGCGAGGTTAAATGGCACACTGACTAAATTTTAAGCTCAAGCCTCCAGAAGTTTCAGTGTTGTGACAGGCACAAGGAAAACATCTTTGCCTCTCAAAGTATAAATAATATACTTAAGCAAAACTGAGTGCTGGGATATCTGATCAGGCCTTTGATATACATGTGATAAAGTGTTCTTGTTCTAATAATTGATATGGTATGCGTGGATTTAGTTTTCTTCTCTGTTCTGATGGCTCCCTCTCCACAGACAAATCTAACTTCTAGCTTCACTAGAATTTTGCTTGAAAAAGGAAAACAGTTTCACCTGAAATATGCCATCTTTTGTGTGTCAAGTTTTTATGGGCATCAACTTGGTGTTCAATACTATCATTTTATTTAGTAAATATTATTGCTTTTTGTACACCAAAGAGTTGAAGGATTGCTATTGAGCAGTTGAACTTTTAAAAATGTTAAGTGTCAATATTATAATGGGTTATTTTGTGCTTGTGTTATTGAATGTGGTCAACCACACTTTGATTCAATCTGCCTTTATCATTGAAGATGGGAACTGTTTTACCTAAATGTAGCAATAACATTGACTTTCAGTTTTGCCTCAGCAACTTGCTTGTGTGTCAACTAAGAATAGCAAAATTTTTACTTAAATTCTCATAACTTTCTTCTGTAGGATGAAAGCTCTTCTTACAAACTGTGTGCAGAAGACTTACAGAAAAATGAAGACTCTAATAGTGTCATTAAAGATAGATTGTCACAAGCTGTACGACATAATGCCAAACACTTCCTTGATCCAGTACGGAAATTTAATGGGCAGCCAATACCCTTTCAACAGCCAAAGCTTTTTTCGGGAGGTGTTATGAGGTGGTACCAAGTTGAAGGCATGGAATGGCTCAGGGTATGAATCTATATGTTAGCCTAAGTCTCAAGTTTATACTTATTTCCACAGAATGATACCTGCTCATGTTTCAAAGTCTTTTGCTTGAGAGAGGTTTGATACTACCCCAGATTAATTATACTGGGAGGTCAGTGGGGGTTTTTTGGGTTTGGTACAGAAGCTATGCACGGCTGTATCAGCTGTGGGTTTTTTTTTTTTTTTTAAAGGAACTCTTGGTCGATGTTAGCTTTGGCTGTTCCAGCATAGGAATGTAAGAGACTAGTTGACTATCTGATAATCAGAAACTTAAAGGTTGTTGACTAGTGATGCAACTAGTTGCTCTCCCCTCCCTGCTTGCTGCCTCTATCAGAGGGAGGCAGCAAGAGTGGGGGTGGGTGGGAGCAGAAACTGGTGCTGGGAGAGCCGGCATAAAAGCCAGTCTCTTCCCCCCCCCCCCAAGCACCATCTCCGCAGGGAGCAGGGGCAGTGTGAGCGGGGACTGAAGCAGTCTCCACTTGCACCGCTTCTGCTGCGATTCTGCTTTTGAAATGTGCAAGAGCACCAGCTGGGCTCTTTTACATTTCAAAAGCAGAAGGCCTACAGGGCTCTTGCTACAGTTCAAAGGCAGAGGCGCTCTTATAGACTAATCGAATAGTTGATGTAAATGCCATCGACTATTTGACTAATTTAAATGTAACATCCCTATTCCAACACTGTGTAATTTACTAAACTACAGAAATTGCATGCACATTTCTTTAAAAGAAGGGAATATGTATATGGGCATTGCTGCATTATGTCTGGGTGAAAGTTTTGATAGAAGATATTAAAGCCTTAAAGCCATTCTCCTAATAAGAGTAAAGCATTCATATTGGAAGGCTGTAGTCCATTTCCCTATTGCAACATACTGACATTTCAGGCAGGATGCTCCTTACCTGATTTCAAATGAGCACTATCCCGTGTGTCAAAATTCAGAGCTTCCATCTTAGTTTTGGAATTTTTAAGTGGCTTGTAAAGGATTTCCAAACCGTAAAATTGAGCTCATGCACTTATTGTTTCTTTATGGTGTATAACAGGATATTTAAAGCTTTTTTAAAAGCTTTTCTTAATTTTTCACATTAGAAATATTAGGAGTATCTAGTGTTCCCTGCACTAACTAGAATATATCTTGGGGATTTGATGTGCGTTATGAGCTCTTGCAACTTATTTGGAAAGTTGGTATTTTGAATGTTTAATAAAAACTTCTTTATACTGGGCATTGGAGTTAAACGTATTAAAAGATTTAAATATTCTGACTAAAAGCCTTTCCTTTTCAACTGTTCCATGTCTGGTCTCTCTCAGTGCATCTCTTCAGGTAGTAGGCTTCTTGCCCATAATATTACAGGGTGGAATCTTTGTAATTTTCCCACCTTTAGACAGGGACCTGAGTGTACCAACTGCTTAACATCTAGCAGATCCAACCCAGGTTCAAGCATGAGTTTCCTTCTTATAGGTACTTGTGACCAGTGGTATTGACCCAAGAGTCTTCTAAAGTGTTTTTTAAAATCCATTTCTGTCTTAAGCCCCTGCAGCCTCAGCATCCCAGCTCTCTGCCTCTCTACTCCTCCCTTCTCCCCCTTCCCCTCCCCCCAGGAGATAACAGCTGGGGTTGAGCACTGCAGCCCTGCCTCTCCTTCCTCCCAGAGAAGCTGGGAGGGGACTGCTGTGGGCAGCCCCAGTGAGGATTCCCCTACCTCCATTTGATTCTAAGCAATAACATTCCATGCATGTCCTGTTGTTCTGGCACAACCAAATCCTTATCTTGCTTTAAGTTATGGTAAGGGGAAGCTGCATACCAAATTTGGTGGTATTAGCTCTTCCCGTTTAGGACTTATAGAAGGACAGACACATTTCTAAAATAATAGTACGAAGAAGATATTTGATTGGCACATGCATACAGATCCTTTGTATTTCATAGGACTGGAAGGGACCTCGAGAGGTCATCGAGTCCAGCCCCCCGCCCTCAAGGCAGGACCAAGCTCTGTCTACACCATCCCTGACAGATGTCTATCTAACCTGTTCTTAAATATCTCCAGAGAGGGAGATTCCACCATCTCCTTTGGCAATTTATTCCAATATTTGACCACCCTGACAGTTAGGAATTTTTTCCTAATGTCCAATCTAAACCTCCCCTGCTGCACTTTAATCCCATTACTCCTTGTCCTGTCCTCAGAAACCAAGAGGAACAAATTTTCTCCTTCCTCCTTGTGACACCATTTTAGATATTTGAAAACCGCTATCATGTCCCCCCTTAATCTTCTTTTTTCCAAACTAAGTTAGAGAAATTCTATTCACGTAACTCTGAAAATATGGCTATGGGAAAGGATTGCTAACAGAAGCCAAACAATGATTTCTGTCATATGTTTGTGTCTAGTGTTTACTAAGTATGTGTAAATTTAGAAATATATCTCTGTGTATGCAGATGCTTTGGGAAAATGGCATCAATGGCATTTTGGCTGATGAAATGGGACTAGGAAAAACAATCCAATGTATTGCTACAATAGCACTGATGGTAGAGAGAGGAGTCCCTGGACCATTCTTAGTATGTGGTCCTTTGTCTACTCTTCCTAACTGGATGTCTGAGTTCAAGAGATTCACTCCAGAGGTAAAAACTATTTTTTAATGTTTAGAAGAGAAAATTAGTCCATACCTGTAACTGTTTGTTTGGAACTTGTTCTGTATATATTGTAACTGCAGTTGTAGTTTTTAGTATAATTACTACAAAATGTGTGGGTTCTTGTTTCCTAATGGAACTTTAAACATTTCTTTTAGATTCCCATAATGCTGTACCATGGAGCCCAGCGTGAACGTCATAAATTGGTTCAAAAAATTCACAAGCGAGATGGTTCACTGCAAATTCACCCTGTGGTCATTACCTCGTTTGAAATAGCCATGAGAGACAGGAATGCATTGCAGGTACATAGTACACTTTGACCAGTGGAATGCTTCAGTATCTCTAGTATAGCTGATAACAGTGCTTTCTCCCCAGTAGCAATGTCACATCAGCAGTATACATGCTTTTATCAGTTTCCAAGGCTATGTCTACACTGCCCCCGTTTTCCGCAAAAAATATGCAAATGAGGCGAAGTGTGGAATATCACTCCGTTTTGGCACAAAAGCCTCCTCTTGCACAAGAGCCATTCTTCTGCATTTTTTTCAGGAAGGACTGCTCTTGCGCAAGAGGGGGTTTTTGTGCAAAAACGGAGCCTCATTAATTATGCAAATGAGGCACAGCGATATTCCACACTTTTCCTAATTTGCATATTTTTGCACAAATCGGGAGCATTGTAGACATAGCCCAAGTGTACTGTTCCCTCAGCACCTAGAGCCCTGGATTGATATATTGAGTAACATTATGAAAAAGTAGACTACATTACCCAATAAGGATTGTGGACAATGGTAGAGAACATGGCCAAAATTGGGTGTATTTTTATGGTTATTTAAAAAGATGCTTGTCTGACACTCTTTGCCCCACTAGAGCCCAGAAAAAGTCACATTATTTTAGGGGTTTTTTATCCTTGTTCTTGGAAACAAATTTGGCCATAATATGTAAAATAAAAAATTAAATGTTCAACCTGAGGCAGATTCCAGGCATGGGAGACTTTAGGGTAAACAGTTGGAGTTCGGCACAGTTATAAGCACATGACAATAGGGTGTTATAAGGGAAGTGTTGGGCAATTATAATCAGTACTACTAGCCCTGCCTATAATACACATATAGTAAAACTCCAATAGTCTGGAATCCAATGGTCCGGCACTCCTGATAGTCCAGCATCAAAATGGCAAGAGCCTAGTGAGTGAGCTTCGGCAAAAAATGAGTCACAAGGTAACAGCAGCAGCAGCTGAACTGAGCGAAAAGGGTGTAAAAGGTTAAAAAAACTAAAACATTACAGTATACTGTATGTACAATAAAAAAGGTTAAGAACACTTTATATACTATATACAGTATATACATAACCAGCTTATAGTTCCTCCTGATACTCTGGCATATCTGATAATCCGGCACCACCTAGGTCCCATAGGTTCCGGATTATCGGAAGTCTACTGTATTTTGATGTAGCAAAGATCACATTCCTTACAATGATAGGTGACATCTTCTCTCTTTTTCTGTAGCATTGCTTCTGGAAATATCTGATCGTGGATGAAGGACATAGAATTAAGAACATGAACTGTCGTCTTATCAGGGAATTAAAACGATTTAATGCTGACAATAAACTTCTGCTAACAGGTACTCCCTTGCAAAACAACTTGGCAGAACTTTGGTCACTACTTAACTTCCTGCTGCCGGACGTATTTGATGACTTGAAAAGGTAGGCAATAGTTTGTTGGCCAAGACAGTGTGTGTTCTGCATGAGCTGCTCAGAACTGTTGCCCCACATCATTACAATTAGAATTCGTTAATTTGAGTTGGATAAACTGATCATTTATTGCAATGATTGGATTCGTCTTTGTTTGGTGATGGAGGGGCTTGAATGGCTTCTTCTTTTCTCAAGTGACTGTTGTTTGTGTGTGTTTTCATTTCTGAATTTGCTTGTACAGAGAGGGAAACAATTTACAAATGTTAGCCAATGAGCAAAAATTAAAATCCCATGAGTCAAGCAGCAAGCATTGTTTTTCTTCATGACTATTTGTCACATCACAGTGTCAAAAAACAACTTTAATATCAGTGCTAAGTGTATTTATTATAATTTAGTTTATAATTGTCTGGACTTAGCTAAAAGAAAATGTTTGTTTTTAGTTCTACTCACTGTACATATTTCGTACATAAGGTGACTTTGAAACTTATTTAGGGTTTGACACACACATTCAAATAACAAAGAATGCTGTATATAGAATACCTTGAATTTCTTTGTCTTTCTCTTTAGCTTTGAGTCCTGGTTTGACATTACAAGCATTACAGAAATTGCTGAAGATATTGTCGCTAAAGAAAGGGAGCAGAACATCTTACACATGTTACACCAGGTCTTCATTTTTATTTTTAAATAGATTCTTCAGTTTGCTGCTGCTGTTTTTTGTTTTGTTACACCTTTTTAATACAAAACATAAAATTAAAGCAGATTTCTTCTTTGGTGTTGATCATAACACGACTTAGCAGGTCTGGCATTGTCTTTGGCACTACTTGCACTACTTTTCTATAGGACCTTTTCAACATATTAGAAGATATAAGTCTTACTATATTTTTGGTTTTGGAATGAAATTGAGAATTCTGATGACTAAAGCTAACTGCAGCTTTTGTTTCCGCACTTCTTTAGCACTTGATGCTGCAGTAGCAGATAAAACTGGTACCATGTACCATTAGAATTAAATTGAATTCTGTGTACCCTTGTAAATGATGTAAAACGGTTGGTCTTTTACAGAATGTAAAACTAATACACTTCTGACTCAATTCTGTTGGCAGTGACATAGCTTTGTGGGGCACGGCTCTCTTTTTACTTTCTAAGTTTGTAAAGGAGTTTTATTCCCCTCTTCAAAAGCAAAACCAAATGTATTATGATCAATGAAGATTACGGTTGCCTAGTCCAACCCCCTGCTCACAGAAGGACCAACCCCATCTAAATCATCCCAACCAAACAATGTTTCCTCTAATCTTTTCCACCTATTTTGTAGAATAAATCTATGTGCAAAAAGGCATTTGTGAATGTGCACCACCAAGAGAAATACAAACCTAGCTGTGAGCATTCTGCTTCAGTTGGGTGGCATTTGAATTTCTCCATAGCAGCTGCACAAGCATATAGCTTACAGGGAACACTAGAGCAAGGGCTTTGTCTCGCCTGGCTTTAAAAACCTCCTAAGGATTGAAATTCCACAACCTCCCTGGGTGTAACCCATTCCAGCACTTCCGCAACCTTTTAGTGACACAATTTTTCATAACATCCAGCCTAGACCTTCCCCACTGCAAGGTCTTGAGACCATTGCTCTTGTCATCTCTTGTAAGTCATGCACCCTCACCCACTAATCATTTTTGTTGCTCTCCACTTGACTCTCACCAATTTGTCCTCATTCTTTCTGTAATGGGTAGCCCAAAACTGGACACACTACTCCAGTTGTGGCCTTAAATGTGCTGCATAAGAGGAGAATCATCACATCTCTTGATGTGCTGGCAGTGCTCCTACTACTGCATTACAATATACTACTAACAGTGTGCCTGGTTGCCAAGAAGGCTCATTCTTATCTAACTTTTTGTCCTTTATAATCCCCAAGTCCTTTTTTGCAGAACTGCCACTAAACCAGTTGATCTCTGATTTGTAGGAGTTTACAGGATTCTTCTATTCTAAGTGCAGCACTCTGCATTTGTCCTTGTTGAACCTCATCAGATTTCTTTTGGCCTAATCCTCCAATTTGTCTGGATTATTCTGGACCCTCTTCCACCAAAGTATCTGCTTTCCTGTTTTGTTTTGTTTTATTTTTTAAGTCAGCCCTTGTTAGCAGTTGCCACTGTTTTCCTGTTCTGTATTCCAGATATGCTATGTGGTAACTGACACATGCTGACTCTCCCTGACAACTTCTGTACTCTAGTAAGGGCATTTGGTCATTGTTGCATCAAGAGCACATAAATGTTATAAGCCCACAGATAATTTGAGAACTTGGGAATGAAACTTGCATAATGTTAAATAGCCAATTTTCATAGTTTCTGCACTATGGCATGTAGACAATAGCTGCATTACCATTAAAAATATTTTAGTATTTTGGTACATGTAGCGCATGACATGTCTTTGAAGACTCAGGCCTATTCCCATGATTTGTACAGCTACGTATTATAAGCTTTATACAAATCTACAAGCCAAATTCTGTGTTGTAAATTGGCACTACCTCTTTAGAGGTCAATGGCACTGCACCAATGTATGCAGCTAGAGAGCTTGGCCCCACATATTTAGAGATTTATAATACATATTTGTTTACATTTTAGATTTTGACACCTTTCTTATTGAGAAGATTGAAATCTGATGTAGCTCTTGAGGTTCCTCCTAAACGAGAAGTTGTGGTGTATGCGCCGCTGGCAAAGAAACAAGAAACCTTCTATACTGCTATTGTAAATCGGACCATTAAAAAGCTACTTGGAAATAAAGAGGTGCCTACTGATGTAGACTTCAGAAATGTATACAACTGTTACTGTCAGCGGTTCACAAATGAAAATATCATAGCATTGGGTACATTAGTAAACTATGTAAAACACATTTTTTATCACTTTTTTTAATGTATAGGTGCACAGCTCATTGATTATATTAGAATTCTGTACATTGAAATTGAAAAGAAACATTCCTATCTTATCAATTTTGGTATGTCAGGTTTTTATTACAGGAATCTAAAATATTACCCTGATTTCAGATTGTTAACTTTTGTCTATTTCAGTGCCTATCAGCTAAAAATTGGCTATTTATGCTATTCAGCTTTCCATATACAGGCAGTCCCCGAGTTACGCGGATCCGACTTATGTCGGATCCACACTTACGAACGGGGCTTTTCTCGCCCCGGAACTTGCAGGCGGCGGGACCACCCAGACGCGCAGTGGTCCCGCCACCGCGTCCTCCAGGGCGAGAAAAGCTGCTCCGGGTGTCCCTGGTCTGCTGGGGGGATCCCCAGCAGACCAGGGACACCCAGAGCAAAGCCGCAGAGGAGGCGGGGTCCCGCGCCTCCAAGGCTTTGCTCTGGAGCAAAGCCTTGGAGGCGCGGGACTCCGCCGCCTCCAAGGCTTTGCTCGGGGTGTCCCTGGTCTGCTGGGGACCCCTCCCAGCAGACCAGGGACCCCCCGAGCAGACCAGGGACACCCGGAGAAAAGCCTTGGAGGCGCGGGACCCCGCCACCTCCGCGGCTTTGCTCCGGGTCTCCCTGGTCTGCTGGAGGAGGGGGGGAGCAGCTGGGGTGCTGCCGGGTTGGTCCGGGGGGGACCTACCCGGCAGCGCCCCAGCTGTTCTGTCCCAGGCTCCAGATTCAGCTGCTGTTGAAACTGATCAGTGGCTGATTCTAGGAAGCTGGGGGCAGAGCAACTCTGCCTCGGGCTTCCTGTAGTCAGCTCCTGGTCAGTTTCAGCAGCAGTGGCTGAATCTGGAGCCAGTTCCGAGATACGTACAAATTCAACTTAAGAACAACCCTATAGTCCCTATCTTGTACGTAACCCAGGGACTGCCTGTACTTAAATTTTCTTAAACTTCAGTACTGACTGTTACCGTAGAAAATAATACAATTGAGCAAAAGCTTTTTGTTGTGAATAGTTCTGGGCCCATTCTTCTGCCACTTAAAATTAATTTGAATTTATTGCTGCTGACTTCAGTGAATAGAATTGAGCTTGTTTCTCCTTGGGTAACTTTAGCATAGGAAGACATAATGCTATTTCTGTAGCTCACAGCTAAGAGACCTTCCTCTTGCTTAAACGACAGTTAAGGTTGATGAGACCATTCACAGGAGCAATGACTGACCATGCACCTCTCAAAATGACACTTTCAATATCTAAAGTTAGGTCCTGAGAATTAGTGACCATTTAAAAATGGAATTTAAGTTTAGTTAACTAGAAAAACACTGAACAGCTTCAGTGTTCATTCCTGAGTTATCACAACATAACTTTTTTAGGTAGCACTAGAGATGATGATCTTCAATGGTCATTTTCTTTTCAAATGCAGTGCTTGCCAAGCCAATTTGCAGCAGTCTCCACTGTGAAGCATAGAGCCTTCAGACTGCCATCAAATCTTGTCAGAGGGCAGCTATGAATGATTGGGCCAAAGACACAATGCATCATAATTAGAGTCCTGCAAATCCACACATACTCGCTTTACATCCATGATTATCCGCATCGGTGCATGTCAATGCAGATATCCTTGCCTCATTCTTGCAGATACAGATATCTAGAATCCTACAACTTTGAATATCTGCTTTATGTCCGTGGATATGGATATCTGTGGATCATTTCTGCGGATGTGGATACCAATTTTCTATCCACAGAGGGATTAGAAGGGCCCTGACCAGCATGATCAATCATAGAAACCTGGTTTCTGAAGTCAGCTGCAGGCCAACCTTCACTATATCAATGTCACAGAAAAATCTGGGCATTTCCCTATAATTTATATGCACCCTCAATAGTAAATATTGAGAAATGTGTACTGTTGGTTAAGAAACACTAAAGCAGCATATATATTGGGGCACAAAAGGATTAGGTCATATCTGGCTGCCTTCCTTCCCCCCGATGATTCATGAGAAACATCTGCTGACAATCACAAGTTGTGTCAATTTATACAGGAAGAAGTGGTCGAGTTGAGTCCTACAGGACGGCCAAAGCGCCGGAGTCGAAAAGCAGTTGATTACCGTGAACTAGATGGTGATACACCTGATGAGCTGGAAAAACTGATCAACAAAATGCAAGAGGAAGTAGAAAAAGAAAGGTGCATGAAAAATATCCATTTTAAATGTATTCTGTAATTTAAGATTGCTTTTAATACACTATGAAATATTACATGGAATAGAAATGAAATTGCTTAATCAAAAAAAGCTGCACTGTTCTTTCTCACTAATTCTGAAAATCCAGTTTACAGTAGGTCTTCCAGACATGTTAGATTATGCTGTGCTATACTTGAAATGAATTGACATTCTTCTGTGCTAATAGTATTGGATATCTTTGTAAGGCCGGTGATAGAAATGACCATTCCCATGGATTCAGAAGTCAATCTTAAACTGCAGAATATTATGATGTTACTGAGGAAATGCTGCAACCATCCATATCTCATTGAATATCCACTGGACCCTGCCACACAGGAATTTAAGGTACATGTATTGAAACATTCAAAGCATTGTTTGAAAGTGACAGTAGGTAATGTAATGTTAGTGAACAGCTTTAGACTTGCATAGTATGCTTCTCCAAAAAACCCTATCAATGTGATTGTCTTGTTTTAAAATTAACTACACCAAATATGAGAGAGTAAGTTCAGTGTCTGCCCTTTCAGTTGTGTTCCTCTTTTCTATAACTGATTTTTTTTGTGATGTGACTACTTGGCCACAAGAAAATTGAACTGAGAGTTAGACCCTAAACTGCTGTAAAACTAGCTTAGATCCACTAGCTTCAGTGGTGCTCTGTTGACTTGTGTTAGCCAAATATCTGGCCCTAAGATCACAAACTCTTCTTGTGTATTTTCAAATGTGAAAATGTTGATTTCTTTTGAAAAATAGGAATAATTTGGCTTCTACACGTTGTAGAAGATACAGTTGTATCGTATCCTAGAGAGCTTCCTAGAACTTGTATACAAGACAGTGTTCTTTTTGGATCTCAGCATCCAACCCCCACTTAAGATATATACAAATTAATAAATAAATAAAGGTCATCTTAACAGGGATAGAAATGTAGCCGTGTTAGTCTGGTGTAGCTGAAACAAAATACAGGACTATGTAGCACTTCAAAGACTAACAAGATGGTTTATTAGGTGATGAGCTTTTGTGGGCCAGACCCACTTCCTCAGATCAAATAGTGGAAGAAAATAGTCACAGCCATATATACCAAACGATACAATTAAAAAAAAATGAACACGTATGAAAAGGACAAATCAAATTTCAGAACAGAAGAGGGATGCGGGGGGGAGGTAAATGTCTGTGAGCTAATGGTATTAGAGGTGATAACTGGGGAAGCTATCTTTGTAATGGGTAAGATAGCTAGAGTCTTTGTTGAGACCCCCGCGTAGAGTGTCGAATATTAGCACGAGTGACAGTTCATAGGATTCACTTTCAAGTGCAGATTTAAAAGGCTTCTGATGCAGGTAATTAAGTTGTTAAGACAGTGTCCTTTCTGGTTGAAATGGCAAGAAACTGTTTTTTCTTTGTGATCCTGTCTAATATCTGTTTTGTGGGCATTGATCCTTTGGTGAAGTGTCTGAGATGTTTGTCCAATGTACAAAGCAGACGGACACTTTCGGCACATGATAGCATAAATTATATTTCTGGATGCACAGGAATGTGTGTTCTTGATCTTATAACTCACTTGGTTAGGCCCAATAATGGTGTCAGCAGAGTGAATATGTGGACAAAGCTGGCAACGGGGTTTGTTGCTAGGGAAGGTACCAGGGTTGGTATTAGTGTGGTATGTCCTGTGGTTGTTGGTAAGAATCATCTTGAGGTTAGGTGGTTGTCTATAGAAGACTATGGGTCTGTCTCCCAGAGCCTCTTGGAGTTTAGTATCCTTAATAGGATTTTTTAAAATACACCATAAATAGTCTTATTGTATTAAAAAGATGAAAAGAGTTTTGATGGTATCTGTATCTATGGTAGCTTTAATCCTCTTAGCATTTTTATTATCTAGGGTTGCCGGAGGTTTCAACAAAAATACTGGACACACTTTACATTACATCACAATCTACATTACATCTTATATAGAAAATACCGGACATGTATATTTTCTCATTTATATTTCCTCAATTTGTTTCCCAAACAGAGAGCTCAAATACTGGACTGTCCGCTTCAAAACTGGATACCTGGCAACCCTATTACTAACCCTTAATAACCTGTTAACAAAAACTAAAAACTCTCATTCAAAATATAGTCTTGCAGACAAAAATGAGCATGACTCAACCCTAGAGTTGAATTCTCTGTCATTCAGAGAAACTGGCGGGTCAGGACCCGTGGAATGTCACCCGACATGCTTAGACACTAAGCTGGGAGGAGAGGTAGATAACACTGGAGGGCAGGAATCAGGTCCAGAGTGACTTAGACAAATTGGAGAATTGGGCCAAAAGAAATCTCATGAAGTTCAATAAGGAAAAGTGCAGAGTCCTGCAAAAAGGAAGAAAGAATCCCAAGCACTGCTACATGCTGAAGATTGACTGGCTAAGCGGCAGTTCTGCAGAAAAGGATCTGGGGACTACTGTGGACAAGAAGTTGGATATGAGTGAACAGTGCGGCCTTATTGCCAGGAATGCTAACAGTTTATAGGGCTGCATTAGTAACAGCATTGCCAGCAGATTGCGGGAGGTGATTATTCTTCTCTGTTTAGCACTGGTGAAGCCACATCTCTACTATTGCATCCAGTTTTGGGCTTCCCGCTACAGAAAGGATATGGACAAACTGGAGGAAGCCCAGCAGAGAGCAGCAAAAATGATTGGGGACTAGGGTGCGGAGAGACTGAGGGAACTGGGCTTATTTACTGCAGAAGAGAAGAGTGAAGGGAGATTTAAGAGCAGCTTTCAACTATGTGAAGGGAGGTTCCGGAGAGGATGGGGTTAGGTGGTGGCAGGTGACAGAACAAGGAGCAATGGTCTCAACTTGCAGCAGAGGTTCTTATGTAAAAGTATAGAATTCAAGAGCTCAGGTATCCGATGATGCGGTCATATGTCTCTGTAGGGAACCTGTAGCCATTCTTTACATGGTGATACACAGATCTTAGGTGGGTTAAGCTCTTTCACAGTTTATTGTCTCTTGCTGACAAATCATCAGCACTGTCCAGCTTTTTCATTGTTGCTCCTGAAGGGCGGGTAATGCGTTCAAGCTGTATGAAGCCCATGTGTAATATCAATCTACAGTCTATATTCCTAACCACAGAAACAGAAGTGATGCAAGTATAGAAATAGGATAATCATATTCAGTAAATTATAACCTTTCTAATAAGGTTATGAGCCATCTTGCATAAAACATATCTCAGTCATGGCACATTCATATAATCATTTTCATAAAAAATATTGAATTCCATGTCAGAAGGACCACTTAGGTCCTGAACTTTGAGCCCCAAGTCATGGTTGACACAATCAAATGATCTAGACTGGAAAAAGATGATATAGGATTAGCCACATGAGTGGAAGTCAAGTGCATTAGCTATCATCTCTAAAACCTGAACGTTGATGCATTTGAGACTTTGTAAATCTTAACTTTTCCTTTTTTAAGGTTGATGAAAATCTAGTGAAAAATTCAGGCAAATTCCTGCTTTTGGATCGCATGCTGCCAGAACTGAAAAAGAGGGGACACAAGGTATTTTTGTTTATGAATATGAATCATAGCTGATCAGTTGCTTTGTTCTGTGTGGTGGTGGTTGGTTTTATTTTTTTAAAATAGGGATATTGAGTCTTAACTACTTGTAGGTGTTGCTGTTCTCACAAATGACACTGATGTTGGACATTTTGATGGATTATTGCTATCTGAGGAATTACAAGTTCAGTCGTTTGGATGGATCCATGTCCTATACAGAGAGAGAGGAAAATGTAAGTAATAACTTAAATGATGCATGCATCCAACTCAACTAATTGCAATAAATTAAGCCTCTGTTGATATGCTTTACATGTAATGCCTTGTAGAAAGACTAAGCAAATAATATATTTTAATTGTCTGATTTAATATAAAATACGGGTTTTAAAAAACCCACTTACCACATATTTATTCTTTATGCTATTTCATATTAGATGTATTCTTTTACAGATGCATAAATTTAATATAGATCCTGAAGTGTTCATATTTTTAGTGAGTACACGGGCTGGAGGTCTGGGCATTAATTTGACTGCAGCAGATACGGTCATCATCTATGATAGTGACTGGGTAAGATGACATACTGTTTCTCAAATGCTACGTCCTACAGTTTTCTAGTGTAGCTCTAAGTACTCGCTTAGGTTTTTGTGTTATGGGATGCAGTTCCAAATGGAGTCTCTGGAAGTAATATGTAAAATACATATTCAGATTAAATATGTAGCATCGGCTAATCAATACAAACATGCTGGCCTATACAAAACAGCTAAGATTACTTGGTAGGCAACTGGCTGCTTCCCCTCAATTTCCTTAACAGGTTTTTCTGATAGTTTTAAAAAAACGCGTACTACTTGAGTCCTGATGATAATTAAAATGCCTTCCTTAGAGAAGAAGTTCTAAGTTCTTAAAGAAGTTAGAGCCCTTTTGGGCAGACAACTTTTGCAGGTTTCCCTATTTCAATATCTTCTTTGTTGGCCCCTCTGGTCCCCAAAATTTCCCAAGTCAACTGACATCCCAAAGTTCCCGACAGCTACAACCCACTTTTTCAATAGACAGCTATTTAGTCTACACTAGCATGGTTAGTATATCCTTTCCCATTTGAGGAATTAGTGAAGAGCTACAAATTGAGAATTTGAATGCGAAAGTACTTCTTAGTGAGAGCTAATTCCATCTTCCGTGTCAATTGTAAGACAGGTTTAATTGTTAGGGCTTTGGTAAAGGGATAACTGTCTTTCTCAGGCTCTCTAACTCATTCTCTGGAACATCTGTACTTTTTTTCCCCTCTTTCTGCCATACAAAACTCCCTGCGATAAATTTTTCACCCTGAAAAGTAATAGCTTGGAAAGCTGAGTAATTGAAAATGGAATCCATTGTACATCTTTAACAATTAAGCTAATTTGATTCCTTTGATATAATTCTCTTTAGAACCCCCAGTCTGACCTTCAAGCCCAAGACAGGTGTCACAGAATTGGTCAGACAAAGCCAGTTGTTGTTTATCGCCTCGTGACAGCAAACACTATTGACCAGAAGATTGTGGAGAGAGCTGCTGCCAAAAGGAAGCTAGAGAAGTTGATAATTCATAAAAGTAAGTGTATTCATTCTTCAGCACTTCTACAATTTTGTTATTCCACTAAGTTATTGTGGGGAATTTGTGCTGTAATTCAAAATTGTTTCTAATTATCCTTGTTAACAGAGAAATTCTCCTATTTATTCCACTAAGTTATTGTGGGGAAGTTGTGCTGTAATTCAGAATTGTTTCTGATTATCCTTGTTAACAGAGAAATTCTCCTATTTAAATAATTCATCACCTTTTTCTAAATATTCCCATCTCTCTTCTCTTAGCTCTTTTAATCGGCACTTTGAGCATTCTTTAGCATCAAGGCTGAAATTAGTGACATGATGGTGAATTTGGCTTCAAATTACTTTTGTCATGCATTTGACTGCTGCCTCATTAGTTTGCCATTTAAAAAAATGTGTCCTTGCTGTGGAATTAGAGGTTAGCGTGTGCTATACTTCCTCCTGGCTGCTATGGAGAATGAGAAACAGGGGCATTATGCTGGCCAGAGAGAGAAACAGAAATGAGAGCAACAGGCAGCAAGGAGCAAGAATGGTCAGGATGACTGTTGGGGATATGACAGCTGTTGGCAGTATCAGCTTTCAGATTTATAGTTATCTACCTTCAGAGGAAATGCCTGACGGACATGAGTCAGAACTATTTTGTCTTTAAGTTAAATTGAACCTTTGAGAGAGGAGTTTTCTAGCTGCACAGGCAAACTTGTCTGGCTTTGGATCACATACATTGAAATCAATTGGAAATTTTTTTTTATGATCTGATGGGCTCTGACAGTAGTCTATAATTTAAATATCCAAACCCCTCATAATACAGCAAAAACGATATACGTTGGGGTAGAGACAGAGAGAAGGAAAGAATAAATTGTTTGGTGTGGTGTTTTTTGAACTGTTGATCATAGGCTACTGCTAGGTTTTGGGTGACATTTGCCAGTCTTGAGTTAGTGATGCTTCCTCTTTCTTGTAGCCTAGTCTCTTTTTTACACTCCACTTCATTTGAGTTATAAACAGAGGAGGGCAGGCCCCCCTAGCACAAGGCTGCCAGGGTAGCAAAAGGAGGTAATGTGGGGTGAGCAGGTGATGCGTTGGGGCACGTGTTTCCTTAGATTTCTGGCTTCAATTTAGCACAGAGATTTTTTTCAGACTATGAAGAATGCACCCCCACGGTTTGAAAGATACTACCTTCTGGTTGATTGAAAGCTATGGGGAGTGACTTGGCCCGGCTCTTGCTTCTCTCTCCCCTGCAAAGGAGCCTAACCTCTGTCGGCAGAGCCCAGCAGCCATGAGGAAGCCCCCAAGGCACTTGCTTCACCTCTGCTCTGCCTAGGGTTTATAGGTGCTGCACTAGACTCACTTTTGGCAAAAGCAGTCCTTCCAAACTTGAAGTTCCACATCCTGCCTCAGCTCATTCAATTGCTTATATTATCCCACACCCCTGTGAAGAGCTGCCTGAACCTTCTTGGGTACATGGCTGCATGCACATATAGAATCATGCATGCCAGGCTGAGGCTAAGACCACTTCTGGCTGGTAAGCGGAGGCAAGACATGCCTGATCACAACAGTCAGGACTGATGCTTACAGCACTGCGCTAGGTACTTGATTTACTGCTAGTCACAGATATCAGACTTGGGGGGGAGTATATCTGGAGGACCTGCAGATACAGGTCTGTAGTCAAATGAGCTACATCAGTGTCATAGAGCTTAGGGAAATTTGTTTGACCTGTCAGTTCTTTCACACTACTATACAAGGTCGCAGCATGACAGTTCTGACAGACAATATCACCGCCATATTCTATATCAATAGACAGGGTGGAGCCTGATTGTCACTACTCTGTGGAGAAGCTTTCCTCTTCTGGGACTTTTGTATAGCCCAGTGCCTTTACCTGGAGGCTGCTTATTTTCTAGGGGTATGTCTAGACTACATGCCTCTGTCGCCAGAGGCATGTAGATTAGGCTACCCGGCTTAGGAAAATGAAGCGTCGATTTAAATAATCACCTCTTCATTTAAATTTAAATGACTGCTGCTCTGTGTTGATCAGCTGTTTGTTTGGCTCAGCGCGCCAGTCTGGACGCTCCGCGGTCGACATCAAAGGCATTTGTCGACCTCCCCGGTATGCTTCATGGCATGAGGTTTAGCGGGGAGGTCGACAAATGCCTTTGATATTGACTGCGGAGCATCCAGACTAGCGCGCTGAGCCGACAAACAGCTGATTGGCAAGTGCAACAGTCATTTAAATTTAAATGAAGCGGCGATTATTTAAATCGCTGCTTCATTTTCCTATGCCCAGTAAACAAATCTACATGGCTCCATCGACGGAGACATGTACTGTAGACATACCCTAGGAGTATGGAACATGATAGCAGACCATCTCAGCAGATACTTTCATAGCCACTGTGTTCCATCTTCCACATCTTTTGGGTTTTCCTCAAATCGGATTCTTTGCGGTGAAAGATGACAAAAAATGCCCCGTCTTTTGCTCTTTCTGAAACCACAACCCAGGCCCCCTTTCAAACATGTTCATGCTGCCCTATAATGTTTTTCCCTCAGTACTAATGATCCACAAGGTCCTTCTAAAGATGAACTAGGGCAGGTGTATACCACAAGGTTTGCATCTCAATACAAGGGTAACTGGGTGAAATTCTATAGGCTATTATACAGTTCATCTTATAGATTTAATGGCCTTCTGTCCTTTTAAAAAAATTATGAAAAGCAATTACAGTTTGCTGTAGAGAGATCCTCTTGTGAATCTTGTCATGTGAATGGGGGTCTTGGTGGTATTTGAGGAGTAAAATAACAGTAGCTCCAGATTTGGAATTAGTTACAAATCAGCAGAGCTTTCAGGTCTTGACACATTTTGTTTATCTTATTTTTATAATCAATAATAATTTATAATAAAAAGCCCATAGGAAACATCACTTAAACTACATTGAAAGATTGTGTTAAGATATCCAGTCAGGAAATCTTAGAGTTATACATGGAAACTTATTTCTGCACAGTATATATATACTTTGATTTTCTTTAAAATAATTATACATCTGAGAAGAATGTTGTGGTATATGTTTAAGTTTTAAAATAGTACAGAGAGAAAGAACAAAAAGTTAGTGGAGGCATGATGGAGTTTGAAAACAAAGGAAAGGAAGAAGTGCATATGGAGCAGGCAAGGATGCACAGATGTTTCAGTAAATGTAACTGAAGTTCAGGGTAGGTTGGATAAGTCCAGTGATAACAAAGTTACAATCCCTGGAAGGACTTCTGGGCATGTGTTGTCTTGTCATTGGTTTTGACCTCATTCAACCATTGCAAATTAGAAGTAATCTTTTATACCATTTCTTGACATACTGGATAGCTGATCTAAAAGACAGTTTGTTTTTAATTAAACTTTCCGATCTCATTATCAGTTATACTTTGACTGAACCTATTTCTCTTGTTTTTACAACAATAGTACACATTGTTGTTTAAGATTTCTATTCACACACACAGATCTAAACTGGAAAACAATCAGATTTCGGTATAAAAGTGTATGAATTTATCTGAAGAAACATGCTTGTTTTTAAAATGTTAATCAAAACAGTCGTATCTAGTTCACTGATGGAGTGAAGTACACTACAATGAAATGGGCAGGATATCTTTTGCTTATTCTCTATCTTTTAGTGGTACAACTCCTAACTTTGTTTCAATCAGCAACATTGCAAATGGAACATGCTTCAGCATCTACCATCTAACTTTATTTGCAATGTTTTTACGTAAGTAGAATTAATAGCTTTTCTACTGTACATGCGCATGTCATATCAGTGTTTTGCTACCTGTGTGTGTGCGCGTCTGTGTATGCGTGTGTGCGTGCGCGCCATAATTATAAAGTGAAGGCCTGCATTTGTAATTCAGTCATCACAATTTAGGGCATATTTGCTATATGTTTTATCAACAAATCCAAGAATGGTTCCTTTCTCTGTTGAGTTAAACTCATACATTAGATGTCAGTTTATACAATTGATTGGTAATTTGGAAGCCTTTATAGTCAAGTAAGATTTCTCTTTTTATAGATCAATTTAAAGGTGGTAAATCTGCGTTAATCCAAACAAAGAGCTGCTTAGATCCTGAGGAATTAATGGAATTGCTGAAATCCAGGGACTATGAAAGGTATGTTAACTTCCACATTTTGTTAGTCCTGGGAGATGCAAATGGGTGTCCAAAGATCTCAACTACCCTGCCCTTCCTATACTGCTAAATGGGATGTGGGGCTCTTCAGTGTGGGAGATCGGTCCTGAGGAACTCTGGTATAGAAAAGGAGGGAGGTCCTTTGTGGAAAAATGTTGAGAATTATGGTGTTTAGACATACAGTAAAACTCCAATAGTCCGGCACTCCTGATAGTCCAGCATCAAAATGGCAAGAGCCTAGTGAGTGAGCTTCGGCAAAAAATGAGTCACAAGGTAATAGCGGCAGCAGCTGAACTGAGCGAAAAGGGTAAAAAAGGGTTTAAAAAAACTTAAAACATTACACTATACTGTATGTACAATTAAAAAGGTTAAGAACACTTTATATACTATATACAGTGTATACATAACCAGGTTATAGTACCTCCTGATACTCCAGCATATCTGATAATCTGGCACCACCTAGGTCCCATAGGTTCCGGATTATCGCAAGTCTACTGTACTTATTTTCTCTTATTTCTATAGAGAGGTTAAAGGATCCAGAGAGAAAGTAATAAGTGACAAAGATCTAGAATCACTGCTGGATAGAAGTGACCTTATTGGTAAGTGGAAATTAATTTGGTCCTCTTTTCATATTTGACAGTAAAATATGTTGACTTTTTTCTTATCTGTAAAAGCCTATAAAAGAGAATTGCTAGTGCCTTTATTAGAAAGATCATATGGTATGCAAAAACACCAGCTCCCTGCAGAAATTTGTAATCAAATTTTGTCAGTGTTCCATTCAAACAAAATTGATGTATGAGATGTACTGTTGGCTACTACTACATTGACAACTGGTGCTGATGAGGAAGTCTAACAACTTTTTTTGTCTGAAAATGGCCAATTCATCGCCAACTGAAACTGTTCCCAGGAAAAGGGTCATTTTCAAAATTTCCTGTTACAATTTTTTTTTTAATTGTCAAAATAGGACACTTTTAAATGAGGGGGCGGGGAGGTTGAAGGGTTTTTTTAAGTGCTAATTATAGTAATTTTTTTTAAGGCATTAACTAAAACATTTTGAAATTGAGATGTTTCAGTTAACCTCAGTCAAAAGACTTCTCAGATTTTGTTGAGTTTCCTCCTAATTTTGTATGGGTAACTCCTCTTAAAAAGGAAGAAACCATAGTTTTTGTAGGCTTAAAATAACTACCATCTTTTAGCATATATAACCTGTGGGTTATGCAAGGTTTTATAATCATCCCATCCCCCGCCTGCCATGTGAGGAAATGAGCCTGAAAATCCGTCGGGGCCACTTCTGGCTGGGAGGGATGTGTGTGCGCGCGCGCTGGCCGGGGTGGGCAGGAGCTGGGTGCGCGATCAGTGGGGTGTTCCCAGCCCATTGAAAGCCCAGCGCATCTGTTGCCTCACTCCAGTTCTCCATGGCAGCCACAGCCTGGGACTCCCCAGCCCCTGAGCTGGCTCTGACACAGCCTTGTGCCATATCTCCTCACAGCCCCTGGTGGCCAGGCCTCTTGTCCCATCGTACAGCTGGGCACATGCACGGCAGGTTCATGGTGGAGCAGGACTTGAACCCCTAGCCCAGCCTGACTCATTCATTACAGGTGCTGTTCATTAACAGTACCTGCGGTTCATCTCCTGCGGGCTATACATGTGTGCAGGTTATCTAAGACTTTTTTTTACACAATCAGGAAAAACCGCAGGTTATGCAGGGATGCGGGTAATACATGTGTGCAGGTTATATATGCTAATTTACGGTAGATGTCCCATGAGATGCTGTCAATTTTATTGCACATTTCTGGATAACTTTAAAGCACCAGTTTTGACAATGGTGTCATTTAAGGAGCTCTATAGCTACTAAACAGCCAAGGAAATGACTCAATAGAACAAAATGTGAATATTAACAATCTTCATGTTCTTTAAAAAAGAGGTACAAGCTTTCTCTGCACTGTTCTACTTCAGTGTAAGACTATTCAGAGTTCTGTTGAATCTTTACTGTTTGTTTTTCTTAGACCAAATGAAAAAGTCAGAATCAGTTGAAAAGGAAAAAGTGGGAGTGTTCAAAGTCCTAGAAGATATGGAAGACTCCACTACAGAATGTGTATTTTGAAGTGCAGCTAGCTTCTAAAAGTGCAGCCCCAACTTCTTGTGACCTAGCAGTAGATCTTGCAAGGCCATCATTTATTTACAGAGACTCTTCAGTATGCAGATTTTTTTTTTTTTTTTCAAAGCCTGGTACAAATCCTTTTTCTTTTCAGGGAGTTGTAACATGTCAGGTGCTGTACTTCATGATGTAGCATACCTAAAAAGGTCATACTTGTAAACCTCACACAAAGAATTAAGAAACCATTTTTCAAGTGTTTTACGTAGCTTTTGTGATCCTGTGCTACACATTGCCAGGTTTGTACAAAATCTTCCTGTGGAAGTCTTGCACAACCAATTTTATTTTTCTGTGTAAGCTGCCCTAATGTGTCAATTGTGATGTTATTGGGAAGGGGAAAACTATCTAGTATACTTGTTTACAACTGATCGTGTAGCTTCAGTTTTAAATTTTGCAAAATATTTTGCTAATAAATTTGCCTGTTTTGTCATGTGATTTTATTAGGGGAGATAAGGGAGAGGAGCGCTCTACAAGAACATCTTATGTAATCATGCCTCTTTCTGTGGGCATTGATCTGTGCCATACCCTAATTTCATCTTGTAGTGGCAAGTGCCCAGAGTTACAAATTTTTCAGTGATTTATGTATACTATGCAAGTTCCATGTATGACTGTTCTCTATTCTTAGGGTAATGAGCTAAAGCAATCAGTCATCTTAGATTGTATGCCCTAAGCATGGAATTTGCTACAAACTGATATTTCAGTATCTCTGCTTAAATAAATCAAAAAATCCTCTGTCAGAGTACTAAAGACATTTTAATTTAGACAATGTGAATAACATTGCACTTATCACTTTGTCATGGAACTTGGTATGACTTTATAGTCTGAATTTCAATAGGACAATGCACTTCAAGGGCCAGTTCGTGTTCAAAGAACACAGATGTCATACTACTAGTCAAAAACCTGTTGCACTACTGTAATTAACACTTTCAGTACAGCTACACAATATTCTCAGACTGGTGCGATTATAAACACCTATATTTAAGTAGGGCCCTGGTAGGCTGCTTAACTGGTTAAACAGGTAGTTTAATGGGTTAACATTTTTTGCTATTGACCATATGTGCCTGCATCATTCATTACACAGAGTCATCAGTGAGTTCTTGGACATTATTTACAAACATTTTATTAATTTACCACTTCACATTGTGGTTGAATATTCAGCAACTCCTTTATGTAGTGAGGTCTCATTGTTTAGTCAGAAAGTATTCCATTTAGCAAGGTACAATCAGTTTCACGCGTACACACTAGCAAGTGACAGTCTAAGAAGGAATACTGCAGAAAGCGATCCGGGGGGGTCAGAGTGGACCAGGCAACAGTGTGATGCTATTGCCAAAAAAAAAAAAAAAAAACCCAAACATGATTCTAGGACACATTACAGGAGTGTTGTAAGCAAGCCGTAGAACATTAGAACTAGTATTGTAGAACATAAGAGAGTCATTCTTCTGCTCTACTCTACCCTCATTAGGCCTTAGTTGGAGTGTCATGTCCAGTTCTGGGTGGGCACCACAATTCAAGAAAAATGTGGAGGATTTGGAGAAGGTCCAGAGAAGGACAACACGAATGATTAAAGGTCTAGAGCAGCATTTTCCAAACTATGGGCTGTGGCCTGGTACTGGGCTGCGTGGTTGCCAGGAGGGGAGCAGAGCAGGGTGGGCTGGGAGGAGGAGGGGGGGAACTGGCTGCCCAGAAACAGGGTTGGGTCAGGCAGGCAGCTGGTGGAAGCAGGGTTGGAGGTAGCAGGGCTGCCCATGGAGATGGGGGGTTGGGCAGGGGACAGAAGTAGGGTTGGGGGTAGTGGGGCTGTCCAGCGGAGATTGGGGAGGGCAGGCGGCAGAACCAGGGCTGTCTGGGGGGCTCTGGTGAAGGATAGGAGGAACCAGCTGCTGGAAGCAGGACTGGTGGGGGGTTGGGTCATCG